GTGAAAACTATGACTTATTGACTTGTAACTGGCTCGTCGGTGCTTCGCTTTCGCAACTTATTCCGTTAGGTCACGCAGTCTGAGTCTTCCCATATTTGTACTGCAAAGTCCGAGAAGATATCGTTTGTGCCGGGTCATCTTCAAAAGACTGTGCACGAGCGCGCGTGAGTCCGTAGAGCTTTTGACGTAACTGCAGCTGTCGGCTCAGGTTCAACTGCCGATTTTGTGCTAGAAAGCAGTTGGTTTCTCTAAAAACTCAAAGATAATTAAACTGCTCTTTTTCTCATGTTAAGCTCTTTTCTCGAGTCGTTATCCATGTTTATCAAACATTCGAGATGCACGTAGGAAGACGTTTCAGGAGTAAAAGTGCCTTCTCATTTCTACATTCTCACAAAGTTCGTTTTTGGTAATCTTCTTAACACACTGACGACAGCGTGACCCAAATAGTGGGTCACGCAATGACTGCCACGTAGAGCAATGTGACCCACATGGTGGGTCATGGCTTAAAATTCGTCAGAATTTCTGAATGGAAATATAATGAATTAATAAAATACAGGGTGTCCCAAAAGTAAGTACACACTTTTCAATCGTCAATATCTCTCTTCCCAATAAGTCTGTTTTCGCCATTTAAGCACCATCCTGCAGAGGAGGCTTCAACTTAGATTTATAGTATTGAGCGAATCACCGACCGCTCTTCATCACTGTAGGATTACGGTAAGAACTTCCAGCAAGTAGAACTATTGTGAAATATGCCATCTGACGGAATATTCTTCAAAAAATCTGAAAAATAGTGTACTAAGGTTTTTGCGCACACTAATTCCACTACACAACTTTTTATGAGTGTTTTCAGCTTTTCTGATGGTGTAATCACATTTTTGACAAATATTGAAAATTTGGATATCACGGTTTACCTGGGATAACTTTAGAAAGAAGCATCATAGTATGGCGGAAATTTCATATTTGAAATCAGCAACTTTCATTACCTTAGTATAAGAGTTTTTAGCTTGTTTGGTTTTGTTCCGAGGCAGAGCTGGCTTCCAATAACCTGAAATCCTTGTCGAAGATTCTACAGTTATCTTACAGTAATAAAGAGCGATCGGTGATTCGCTTAATACTGTAAATCTAAGTTGAAGCCTCCTCTACAGAATGATGCTTAAAAGGCGAAAAAAGACACAATGGGAAGAGAGATATTAACGATTGAAAAGTGTGTACTTACTTTTGGGACACCCTGTACAATATAAAAATGAATACAATCTCGAGGTAGATTCGTTTTAGAAGTTCCACTACGCTCTGATTCCTCGGGTCGCATTTCTTTTCTGCTCCTTAAAATTACCGTAGATTTAGAAAATTTTCAATTTTATCGTGGAAGGCATTGTCCCACAAGGCAGACAACTGAAAATGCGCGTTTCGTCAACGTGTTAATTTCTCGGTTCTATCTACTCTAATTCGTTGTGATTCTTTAGCATTGTCCCTTTCCTCTTTCTTCAATGTTACATCTCGGAAAGAGTACGATGATTAGCAAAAGAAGATTTGTGAGGAGTGCGATCTCCCAGTAAAGTTTGAACTTTATTTCGAAAACTCTCCCGTTCTCTCTTTTTAAGAAGGGCGGTTCTAGAGTTTTTTTAACTAATCGAAAATTTTTCCTGCCAAAAGTAAAATAGAAAGTGCGGCGCAAAAGTAGTGTAGACGGTGTTCTCCGGCTGGCAAAAGTTGGCAAAAATTCAAAATATGGTGCTAAAATCATAGTACGTCATGGCCTGCATAGCAATGCGCACTTCAGCAGGTTTTATGGTGGTTCCTCTTTTGTGAGAACAACTGTTATCAACAGGGGGTTGACAAGCGGAAAAGGTAAGTTTTTACGATAGACCATCTTTCGAATAGAAGTTGGGTTAGCGTCGTTGTTCAATAGATTGCCTGGTTTGTCTTATTCCAAGAAGCTCCTTCGACACCTCCTAAAAATTGGTCTTGTCGGCTGCTTTCAGTTCGCTTAACTGTACTTTCGAAGCTCTTCACATAAAGCACTTCTGTAGTAGTGTGTCCCCTCGGACCGCCACTGCTGTCTATCTATCCGTAAGTAATCCTGCCATTTTTTACTGTGAAGAATTTGAATGGGTTGTACTGTTCATCTAACCGAACAGTGCTAACAAGGGAATAATCAGAAGTCGAAGGGGCCAAACCAAACAAGCTGTATTTTATTTATTTATTTATTTAATACGCACAAGGCGCACCCATACAACAGAAAAACGAAGCATCACACCAAACAACCAACAACAAAAAAAAATAAAACAAAAAGGCAAACTCCCCACTGAATCAGTTCAAGTCCAGTCCACAAAGTCTTTCTGGGAATGGAAAGGGAGTGAGCTTGTTTACACATATATAAAGTCATCAAGGTATAGAGGTTCAATAAGTCTGTTTCATGCCCCCTGCTCTTAGCAAAAACTGCTTTTATTCAACATAAGCAACTGTATATGTTGGAAGCAGGTGTATTGGTGGTAATATTGATGAAACCCGCCCAACCAAAACTCTGGGGAGAGAACAAAACTCCGATAGAAGAGATTGCACAGTGCAAAAGTATCAAGCCCAAACAAGCTAACCCAAGCATAACGGAAGTGATAAGATGGAACCGGATCCAAACTAACGCGTGAGGCATGAAAGTGATGGAAGAAAACCAAACAAAGAACGGCAATGATTTGAACCAAGGTCCAATGAAATGATAGAGTCTGACCTAACAGTCTAACAGATCAAACTACAGTCCAACAAAGCATTCGTTCTTCGCATTCCCTCTACCACAATCAGCCCAGAGTAAGGATCAAACATGAGACAGGTAGAGTCGTGTGCCATAGAACCGTCATACGAAAAAGATAGTGAACCGCATGGACAAGAGCGAGAATCTAGAAAGAAGACTATTGAGAGGTGAAAAGTAAAATAGCAGAAAAAGAAAGAAAAAAAAGAAGTGCAAAGAAGATCAAGCCTCAGAACCAAACCGTAGGAGAACCATAACAACCATAAGCCCTAAAGACCTAAACCCTGAAAGAATCTGAACACAAATATTAGAAACGCAACGCCATCAAGAAGAAGTACCACTACTCAAAACCATACCATTCGATGCAGTATAAAACGCTGACTTCGAATCTGTCTTCCTTATCTGCTTCCCGCTCCTGTGGATGAAGCTACAAGCGGTTCTATTGTGAAAAAATCACACATGAATACAGCGAAAGTGAGCACACTGTTGCACTTTTAGCTCACTTCTTTCTTTGAAAATTCGAAGTAGGCTAGATGCAAGTTGTGGCCCAGCGTTAAGGCGAATGTGGCTCCGCACGGCTAAGTTTTCAATTTCACGCGTAGTTTCTCAAAATAATGGTTTTATTGGCTTGTAGCTTCGTCGACAGAAGCGAGAAGCAGATAAGAAAGACAGATTCGAAGCCAGCGTTTTATACTGCATCGAATGGTATACAGCTTGTTTGGTTTGGCCACTTCGACTTCTGACCATTCCTTTGTAAGCATGTTGCAGATAAGAACAAATGATTTTTTCGAAATATCGAATTTTTCGACAAAAACTGTCGACTTGTGGTTCAGCGCAATTTTCATAATTCCAAAACAACACTTGTTCTTATCAGCAAAATGATTAGCACTGTTGGGTTCAATAATTGGTACAATTCAACTCTTCGTCCATTTTTTTCTTTGAAGTTTCTTTTCCGAAAAAAGAAAAATGACTATAAAGAAGACGACTGGCCGCTGGGATTGTCAAGGGACCATAAAAAACTGGAGTATGCGGCATGTACAGCTTCTCGCTCCTGTTCAATATGTTCTTGATGAAAGATGGTGGATTACTTACGGATAGGTAGATAGCGTGAAATCCAGACAACTGGAGCATCAGGAAATAAAACATTCATTCAAAATACGATCTTTTTCCAGGTGGGAGTTTTGATGCATGCGGTCTAAGCAGGGTCCGGCACGAGTCGGTTTCTAGGGTTTCTGGAAACGAAGTCTCCCCTGAATTTCGGAAGTTTTACGAAGTCCTCTTTGACCTGCTTGCTTAGGAGAAGATGAAATAAGGAGGTTTACTAGCTTTAAAGGAAAGACGTAAGATAAGAGTGAAAATCCAATTGGAGCTGAATACTACGCATGCACAAGACTTTGGCATCAGAGCGCGATATTCAACAAAGCGAGAAGAAATGAAGGCAAAAAACAAAGGAAAGGCAATGATATGAAAATTTCTTCATGCTCAGGGATAGAGTTTTGACCGCGGAATCCCTCCATGCGAAAAAGAACCGAAACTTATGTGAAGTGACGAAAATATATGCTCCAGACAATCTCAGATCGTCTGGTGCCCGTCTGGAGATCTAATTTTGGAAAGGGTATTACTTCACATAAGCTTTCAAATCTTTACATAATACTTCCGCAAATAATTTTCTATGCATACAGTTCAATTTTGGTATCATATGCTTCTGACGCTGTAAATAAGCAATTTGTTTATTTAAGCCCTGCTTTCAAATCGCGCGCGCTTTTCGCCATGCACGATAGAGCATGTCAATCGTGTGATAACCTGTTCAAAAGCTTGTGTTCGACAAAATGGCGCTTATTCTTGGTGCTCGGTTCCGACTCGTCAAAAACAACATCCCCCTTGCTGTTTGCTTAAAGAACGAAGTCCAGCCTGCTTCCAGACGATCTGTGCCGGGCTCTGGGTCTGAGGCACTCCACTCTCTGCTTTAACGCCCTATCTCACTTCAATCATTTGAAGTGAGATAGAACATTAAAGTGAAGAGCATATAGAAATTGCGTATTTTTAGCAAAAATTTCAACTTACAGGTTTTCCTATGTTTGTTCGGTGTTAAAAGGCTTTTTTATAACTGCAGAAATAGTCTTTGATGGCACGCCGAATTAGTTTTTTTTGTATCAGCCACAGATTTACAATCCTCAAGTTTGCTCCAATAAACGCGCTCATGCTAAACTAATTTTGTATAAGATTTGTAACGCGCTAGCTATCCCTCCTCTATTCAGTTGATTGCACACTCTTATACGACGATTTTTCGTGGGGATTCAGGTATAAGGCTAGCGAGGTAATCATTTTTAGTGTATATAATCCGTCATAAGTTATCTAATGTATGAATTGTAAGGAGTGCGAAGTTTGGATTTGGGCAACGAATGAGCTCAAGCAATTCATTATGGTTGGTCTCATTGCAGTGACGGACGCGATAACAATTGTAAAAGTGCGCTCGTATTTAAGCCAGGTTAGTTTATTGTAAAGGATTACCTACAAACTGGCATAATTGGCTCGTATCAGTTGTTCGAACGCTTAATTCAAAAACGTCCTCACTTTACGTACCAAATGTTGACTGATATTGCAAAATTGCGTTCTTGATAGTTGTGACTTAAAACCGTTCACAGTCTCCATGTTGAACTATTCTCCACTCACAAAGAAAGTGATTATAATCAAAGATCTTTCCACATAAGTTCGACAATGTGTTGTAAAACATCACACGTGATTCCAAGTCCTCTCCATATCCGCTGAGCTACTTTGTCACACGAGCATTTTTCGAGCAGAAAATCAAAGCAAGACCTAAACTGATAGTTGCTCCCTTCTAGCGCTCGAATAGAGCAGTGGGCGGTATAAGTATACTGAAAAGTACTTTTTGCGAGTGCATTGATGACTAACACTGGCTCATTTGAGAAGTGCTCATTAATTTCGTTTCAAATACATATTCAAGTTCTTGCCCTCAAAGGCAATCTTGCCCTTAAAGGCAATGGATCGGCAGAATGGACCCTTATCGAATTCTGGTGGATTTAGGTAGTAGACCACTCTAGTACACTGTAACCCAACCCCACCTGCCACTTCGTGCGCTAAGGCCTAAAAAATGCGCTCAAAAGCTCCACCACCCCGCCCATTTTTATTGAATGGGCGTGGCTGGCGAAGTTTTGAAGCGCATTTTTCGGGACTTAGCGCATGAATTGGTAGGTGGAATTTGGGCTACTACTTGGGCAGTCCACTACCTAAATCCACCAAAATCCTAAAAGCGTCTATTCTGCAGATCCACTGTCTTTGAAATCATATAAGTACCCTATTTTCAGGAGTATAACCGCACCCTTTTTGCTCTAAACGCGAGCAGACCGAGGCGTGCCGCCGCGCATATGCCTCGCGAAGCGGTCGCTTTATCGCATACTGCTCTCACTTAACGCGCTCCATGTTGACAGTCAGTCTTTTGACGTGTTCGCCTTTAGAGCGAAAAGGGTGCGGCTTATACACCTGAAAATAGGGTAGTTGTTTGAAGGAGGTGAACAGCTGATTTCGACAGCAGATCCATTGAACTACTTTGATTGAAAACCCTTCCTTTATCAGTGTGTCTTTGCGCTGCTCAATAGTTCAAATTTATAGATCTAAACAACGGTGACTGTTTTCGGAAACAGTTGTTTTTTCGTTAAAGTGTTTGCAAAATTCATTTGGCTATTTTTGCGCAACATAATGGAAGAGGATGCTGCAAAGCTAAGACTCCCGCCAGAGTGCCGAAGTTATGCCAGCGCTACGCCAGATTTCGATCGATACACATGTATTTCGTTGGGGAGTTAGCTAGCCCCGCCCCAACGAAATCCACGTGTATCGATCGAAATGCTGGCGTAGCGCTGGCATAACTTCGGCACTCTGGCGGGAGCCTTAATGACTTGATAAAAGGCAAATTTTCTGCATTTACTTTGAAGACTCTTTTCCATCTACGACGATTCACTCAATTTTCGCAGATTTCGGTTGCTTTCAGCGCTATTTCATCTCATCTTGCATCAGAAATTGTAGACACTTAAGATAACCAACTGAACTTCTTTATTGCATCGCAGTTGATAGAATTTTTATTGAGAAAAATCAAAACCTCAGAGGATTGAGTGGATGGACGTAATATTTGCTTCAAGACGAAGGCGGTCGCCCAAATAGGTTGAAAGCATGCAAGGCTGCTGCGGGCAATTGTCAACCACAGGGCTCGCGCACGCTCGATCAGCGGTCGCTCACGGGAGCGTACGCGCGACCCGTGGTTGACAATTGCCCGCGGGTCGCGTGCGCGTTAGCCTTGTATGCTTTCAGCCTATTTGGGCGACCGCCTTCGTCATGGAGCAGATATTATCTCTGATGGCGAATAAACGATCGACACCTTTGCAATCGAGTCCGAAACTTCTATAAGTGGTGCAGAGTGGATATTATTGGTTCGGTTTCTGGTTTGAAGGCAGCGTTCAGAAAATCTAAGCACATGAAGTTTGAGTGGAAACTTTATGGAAACCTATTATGATACTGCCCAAGCAGCAAGCATCTGCAGTCGAGTAGATTTCCTGCTTAATATAGTGTCCCTGCAGACGCGACAACGGTTGTGCGTCAATAACTGCCGTTGCGAGTCTCCGAACGATGTTTTCTGGTGTTTTCTTCCTTATTCTTTGCATTTTAGGTGACTTCTTGCTGATGAAGGAGAAAAGGTAAGCTGAAGAGTAATTTCTGTTTTTTTAGTAGTACTATCACCTATTCTCAGATAATCTACGTGGAAGCCACGTCCCGTCAGTTTTTTGTGTATTTTCCGTCACCAAGCCCGTTTCTTCTTGTGAATCATTTCTTTTTAAATGCTAGTAGGCTGTGCAGCAACTTTGCTGCCTTTCAAAAAGAGATAGCATTTAACAATTTAATCCGAGTAGTCTTGCGTAAAAGCCTGCTAGCGCTCGAGAAAAGGTTTCGCAAGAAGCAAAGGCATCAAGTTACAAAGATATACACACGAAACTGACGCGAAGAGGCATGAAGAGACAAGAAATACACACGAAACTGCGACGTGGCTTCCACATAGAATTACCTGAGAATAAGTGATTATGCAACTACTAAGAAAACAGAAATTACTCTTCAGCTTACCTTTTCTCCTTCATCAGCAAAAAGTCACCTAAAATGCAAAGGATAAGGAAGAAAACACCAGAAAACATCGTTCAAACACTCGCAACGGCAATTATCGACGCACAACCGTTGTCGCGTCTGCAGGGGCACTATATTAAGCAGAAAATCTATTCGACTGTATGATGCTGCTCGGCTAATATATTCGTCTCCAAATCAGATCCCCTTACCTAATTATTTGGCGGAGCGGAGGACCTGCATTGAGTTGCCTGCTATGCCTGAACTCACCACCACCCACCATGCAAGTAGTCACGAATCACGCTACCAAGGAGAAAAGTTTAGGCGCTGCCTTTGACGGCCCATTTAGATACCGATTTAGAGGTTGAAGGCATTGATCAAACTACTGGTAAATTGCGAAGATTTCTTGAAAAAGTTTTCGTTAACTAGAGAACAAATTGCCGATTATTAGGTTTTTTTTAGGTAAACCGTTATAACGTTATACTTCGCAATCGTGTTACCTACGCAGCGATCCGCTCGAGATTAGACAGTGCCTATCACGAACACTTTCTACTAAAACACTAGACGTATTGCAAAATCTTAGTGGTGCGGATGTGCCACTATGCCACATTTGGGCCTGTTTAAATTGTGACAGAATGTAGATTTAGAAAGGCAAAATTTGGCATTTGCGACATTCGCACCCTTACCTTCGTAAACCGGAATTCAAACAACTTCCGTTTAAGTGCGCTTCAAAGGTATTTGTCAATGAGCGCGATAAAGTCCAACATAGAATGCACTTATACAATCTATGTACATGTTACGTTCAGCGACGTTGAGTGGTATGCTAAATTTTTATGGGATAGCATAAACTGTGAAAACATGTAATTGGCTTTATGGACCATCCAAATAGAGCTATTCAAGGCCCGAAGGCAATCCTTGGCATACATTCCTGTCTTTATATCTATCATGCATGCTACTTTCTCCGTATCTCAAAATTTGAAAAATGCGAAAACTTGCTTTTTGAAATGATACAGTTAATTTGCCGTAACAAACCAATTAACGAACGATGACAAAAATTCAAAAAGACTCTGCAAACTTATGAAAACCCAATATTACGATGACCTGCTCAAGTGATCAAATACAAGATTACAAGATGCTCTTACAAAAGAAGCCAAAATAGGACAAACTATAGCATACTTCCGAAAATAAATTGCAGTACTTTGAAAGCTCGAGTGCCAAGAAACAGTTTCAAGGCTGTTACTTCATATATCATTTTGACACGTTTCGGGCCGCGAAATCGCGCGCGGCGAAAAAGTGCCTTTTCAGCCATTGGCCAATAAAGGGACCTTATTTCGTAGACTGTGTGCTACATCTGTAATCAGCTTGTCAGATAAGTTCCATACCTAAGGCTTTGAGTGGATTCGATGTGTTTAAAGGCAGTGGATCGGCAAATCCAACAACTCGGGATTTTAACGCGGTAGGTTCCTTATTGCCCAACTATGAAAACAGTGTAATCCCGGTTGCACAGCATGCTTTCCCTGCCGAGAAACGGCCTGCTGCTTTCCCTGCCACTCTCGAGCTTACACGCGCAGGCCAATCTTACGCGCATCTGGACGAGTTGGCAATTTCCTTCTCACCAGGAGGCTGCCCGCCGCAACGCTGTAGCCATTGGGTCCCGCCACGATTTAGAGTCATCTACCTTGCTCCACTCGTCCAATATCAAAGGGAGGGGCATTACAAAACGCTCATTTTCGCAGTTTTCAAGCTTTCAAAAGTGGATTTTCGGGATCAGCGTACCGAAAAACCCCAGGTAAGCGCAAATTTGACTAGGTTGAGATTTGCCGAGCCACTGCCTTTAAATTTTGTCGCTTTTGAAGGATTCCTGTGCTTTTTTTGAAAGATAGGAACAAGAACTCAGTTTCTAATAGCATATAAAAGTATCTATGTTGTAAACGGTACACATTAGTATTGAAACTACGATTTATCTTTTACATCAAAGCAAAGAGAAGTTGCGACGTCGCACGCGTCGTTCGCGTTGTCGCACTTCGTTGCAACTGTTGTTCGATTTGTGCTCATATCTTCTAAACAAATATTGGCGGCACAACTCTACAGAGCCATTTGAAAAATAGAAGCTTAGACATTTGATTTGATAACCTTGGACTAAAAGAAAACTTCATGTAAATGTCAGGAAGATCCTTCAGAGCAGCGTGCTGCACCATGTGCAGCACCGGTCCGATTCGTGTTAATGAAATGTTGATTTGCTGCCAAAACGGATGTGGCAGAATAATAGGATGCAGTAATTGAAAAGGTAACCAGACTAGTAGGAAACTAGTTGATCACTTACAAACATTACTCGTACGCTTGCTTATAGGCATCATCCACCCAAAATTTCAACCTCCATGTTTTTGTCGTTCCAGGACCTCCTCATACTCCTGATTCCGAATATCAAGTCGAAAATCCGCGAAAACCACGAAAAACCCCCGTTTCAGAACCCACTGGCGATTTCTTCGGAAAGGTGATTAATTGGACGCGCACGGATGGGCGGGACGAACGTCACGCCCACCCGAAAGGGGAGGATCCAACATTGCGAACCTTCACTTTAAGCTATTTTCGAAGCAAATTTCTCGCTTCGGAAGCAACTTTAGGCAGCGCAAGTTGGGCAATCATACAGTTGAGGGCCCCGCAGCTGCTAGGTATCATAATCTCACCAATCTTAATTTGGGCGGACGGTGCTTTCAAGCACTCAATCTTCACAAATGTCGCTCATGAATTTTTCAGAAGTTCGTTTCTCCATAACAAACTATTTTGAGATTGGCGTTTTGAAGCAATCATCATGGCATGTAACATATACCAAGAGTCCACGGCCACCAAGCTTTTTTCATAACTTTCTCCTCAGTTATTGTGGAAAAACCTGTTTTTGCTGTCTTGTGAAAAAAAAGTGAAGAGGAGAGCGTTGAGCACAAATGGAACTCAGTGAGGGTAACAAAGCATAATATCTTTGCTAAAGTTAGTGATCTACGGCAACTGCAAAAATCGAGCGAGTAGTCATTCAGTATACTATTGCATCCCTCCAAATGATTTTCGAATCTCAGACAACTGACCGGAACTTCCGTAAAACGTTTGGAAAAGCTCGCCGGGTCACCTGGGAAGTTCCGTAAACGGCTTACGGAAGTTCCCAAATGAGGTGCTGCGGAAGTTTCGAAGAATGCACCACAGCAGCAAAATAGAACATCTAAACGAGATCTGAACCTCTCTCTATTGACTTGAAACCCAATTACTATCCTCTGCACTACGAAATATATGTTCGGTAATGCACTCTAGTTGTTGTTGGCGAGGCGACATCATATTAGACAACACATTCTTCAAAACCCTGCGAAAATATGGCATGTCAAAGTGTTGCGGAACCGCTGACATTTTTCGAAAATTCCGTGGCGCTTTGTAAAAAGTCCTGCGGAAGTTCCCTTTTCGACAAGTTTGACGTGAATATCCTGTGGAAGTTTTCATTTTCAACGTTTCTACTTTTGCAATAGAAAACAAAATCCTGCAGAACCTCTGCAAATTTCGCTTGCTCTGCGGAAGTTTCGGTAAATTGTTCAATTGTAAGATAAAATAGAATTGTTCATATACAATAAGTTTCACGAATGAATCAGCTGGTAGACATCAAGTGCACAAAAATACCGTAAATTTTTTGTACTTCTGTCAAAATATCACTATTGAGTCTGTTTATATTCTTTCGTTTTTTTTTTGTTCTATCATGCAAAAACTTGGGATAATGATAGTCAAACGTTTCAGAGTAAAAAAGTAAAAACAGGAGAAACTCAAAACCAAGTGAAAAGCTGCCACGAGTTTCTATTTTTTTTTTATCTGGCTGCATTTCGAAATGCCCAGAGCGGCAACTCACAACACGAGGGGAAACTGAAAGAGGCATTGTTCTTTATTGCGGCATTTTTGTAGCTTATGTTAAATATTTCGCAATAGTGAAAAAGCAAGCTTGGCAATTTGTTCACATCCTAAACAAAATTAAAGTTCAATAAATGCACGACGAAACCGCTTGGAAAAAGCTAAAGTGAGGCGATTGCCATCCTATTTCGTAGAAATCAAGAGCTGCAAGATGATGAACGGTTTGTTTTTGCAGGTCTCGACTTTGAAAGGCCGAGAACAATGCAGCAAAGCTAAATGACCGTGCCTCTCGTTTAAGGTAGCGAAGTGGCTCGCAAGTGGCTCGCAACACGTGGAAACGCTCACAAGCCTACTGGACATTTGGCTCTAGTCGGAAATTTCCACAAAATCTCCTCCCACATCCTTCTGAAATGATCATTCTCGTGCTTGACTCGGCATAAGTTTTGAACGCAGTTTTTCGTTTCTATTGATCACAACAGTCTTAGTGAATTTTTAAAATTTTTATATATTCAGTGAAAAATTTAATTAAAGAAATCTTGTGCCCATTTCTTCAGGTCTCACAAAATGTTTCTAGCAAAGGACAAAATACAATTTGGGTACTGCTGGGACAGCTTCCAGTTACTCGCTATACTTGCTTCATTCACAGTCGATTCAATGTAGTTCATTCGAAGCTCTTCCCAGATGGGCGTGCTTTTAACAGTTGGTAAAAAAAGCAAATAAACTAGCTCGAGAAATCCTAGCTTTCTTCTTCATAAATATTCGCTTACGCAACCTTTGCACATGGAAACATGTGATTTTCATTTAGAAAATGTCATTACTAAAGCACAGTTTTCGCAACTGGTCTGCCCCCTCATTATTTTTGGACACGAAGTTTAGCAGCAAGTGGCTATTGCACGGTTTTCGAAAAGACTTAATTTCGATGTGACCAAACTTTTATAAGTTTGGGGTTCAAACTTTACGTGAGTCAGAAATAGGGCAACATCCCTAAGCCATCTTGTAGATTTTGCTTCCACCATATGATAGGTCGATCCAAAAGCTCGTGCCTTTTTCGGACAAAGCACGTAGGATGAAAGCGAGAAAATGTTTTAAATACTGTACGACGCAGCTGTTCTTCCTCTTTTCGGCAATTTGTTTCTGGAGTATTACTCATGTAGTCACTAAAATGATTGCCTGAAATTCTAGTGCATGTTTCTTATCAGGTAGTATAGCAACATGCATAATAAATGCATGTTGCTTACTACTGAGTGGGCGAAAATTTATAATCCATGAAACACAAATCGGAGCTAAGCCAGCGGTACAAGATGAAGTTTAAGAGATTTCAAAAAGATTGATACACAAAAGTTAGTGATAAAAAAATCAAAGCAAAAATCGGACCTCTGTTCAAGGAGTTCCACAAACCTCCAACTCTTACGAAAATGGCTTGCTGCTTTTGCTGTGCACACCATTACTGCAATTAATCATGGCGAGAAGTTAAGAAAATACAATTTGGCCTGTTCTAACAAAATCAAGTCTAGGTTGCCTCGACATGAATGATTCCATAGCAAAGCTTTGCTAGCGTGATATTATATTTTCAACCTTCATCGAGCGTTGATTGTCGAGAATATCGAATTTAACGTAATAACGTGAAGATAACGTAATAACTAAGCATGGATTTTGTGACGTCCTCTTACTAGCTGAGCTGAAATCGTGCCAATCGAGAGCAATTTCGATTTTCGTGGAAAGCGCATACCTGAAAATCCGGAAATATCATGAAAACCAAAATTGCTTTCGATCAGCACAAAATTCCTTCAGCTAAAAAGAGAAGGTCACAAAACCCGTGTTTATGACCGTTTCGGCTTCTGCTATGACGTTTTTAGGCTTCTTTGAGCATGCTCGAAAGTTGCAAAACTGAAGTAATTTTCTTTATTTGCTTCTAACTCTCAATCCTTTTGGAATTAATTCGTTGGAAAGGTACTGTTGTAATAAGCATAATTTTCTCTATCATACAAAAATGCATTCAGAATTTTTTGTGACCCTGATGGAAAAATGCATTCTTGAGTACATTTGTTCAATTGCTTTTAACTCCCGAACTAGCTCATGCCAATTCATAGAAAAGGTACTGCTTTAAAGAAAGTGACTTCCGCTTTTAGAAAACTGATCCTAAGAAATCCATTGAGTCAAAAGGTTATGATTTTTTGAAAAATTGGCGAGCAAACTTTTGCACCCACCTAATATTTCGTAAATTTTTCAGAACCAAGCTATGAAAAAAACTGACAGTGTCTGTGTTGTAAATTTTTCACAAGCAAGCTATAAAAAAACCGAGCTCTATGTCTTAACATGTTTCGGATCGAAATCGCGGTCTGAAACATGTTAAGACAAAAGCAAAATAGCGTGGTGCACAACGTGTAGCACGAGGGGCTTCGGTTACCAGTTTTTTTTTTTCATTGCGTAATTTCGAGCTAAACTCATGAAAAAGCGATACGCGTTGTGTTTCGCACTCTACGCACGCATACATTTGGGGGGGGGGGGGGAGGGGAGGTTATTTTCATCATCCATCGATATCGATTTTATGTATTACCTACAAGGCTGGGAGTTGGCATAGGGTTGACATAGGGGGTAATCGAGCATGCTGATTACGAAAATACAATGGACCAGGCGGAGCTGGGTTGCCAGCTGCTAGTAATTTATAAAATAAGCATTATGGTGAAATGCAAACTTTATCTTCCAGTGTTTTTTGTTTAACTTGGTACAAGATATTTTATATATTATATTATATCAACATATTTTGAGCAGAGCTCTTCAACTGAATGCAAACTAAACTGCAGTCAACGTCATATCTTCATTTCTCATAAAAAATCTAAACCAAAAGCGCTACAGCATATAACTCCAGAACAACGATTTAGCTGAATTAAGTTTTTGTTTAACAATGTCCTCTGTAAATATCCCACTTTGAACCATATAACTACAGATGCCCGGTGACTCAGAGCAAGCGCTCTCCAAGCGGAGATCAGAAATAAATCTGTTCAAACAGGTGATAAATATTTTCCTCAATCAAAATTCAGTGATACACATGAATTCAGGCATTGTTGCAATTTTTCATGTGGGTCGCCGAAATGGTGTGCTACTTCTACATTGTCAATTATTTCACTCATAAATTTGTGCGATGGATGCTCTCAACTTTGGCATGGATTGTCATGCACACCTCTGATGCGTAAGTGTACATGCTAATCATTGATGTTTGTCTTCATTTCATCATTAGCGAATTCCTTTCAGATTTTCGGTTATTTTTATAAATCAAGAGTTGCGAAAGCTGTTTTGCAACCCAGCACTGGTAGGCAGCATTTGTTATAACATATTAGGTTGAACCGAAAGTTCGTTCGCACCATTTTCAAAAAACCGTAACTTCTCTCCCTCATAAAGATTTTGCGCAATTCAAATTTCCTCGGAAAGCGTAAAGCATGTAGTTTCCAAAAGTCTCCTGAGAACTTTCCAACATGCTTAGGTTGCAGAGATAAAATTGAAAGAACGAGATTATCAGAAATTCGGAATTTTTGAGCAAAATTGAGCAAAAATTCAAAAAATCTTGAAACTGTGCGATAAAATCCAGAATAGCTATCATCTTGTGTCTTGTATTTTATTAGTAACTGAGCTAACTTTGTACTGATCGAGCTCTTTTTACAAAAGTTATAATTTTTTGAAAAAAATGCCGAAACTCAATTTTTCAAGAATTCTTAGGAGATTGATTTTTCGGCATTTTTTTCAAAAATTCATAACTTTTGAAAGAATGGCTTGAATAGCACAAACTTGGCTTACTTAGTAATAAAATATAAAAAAACTTAGGACGATGGCTATTCTGGATTTTATCGCACAGTTTCTAGATTTTTAAAATTTTTGCTGAAAAATTCCGAATTTTGGATGATCTCGTTCTCTCATTTTTATCTTTGCAACTTGAGCATGTTGGAAAGTCTCAAGGGAATCTCAAAAACTGCATGCTTTACCCTTTCTGACAGAGTTTTAGTTGAGCAAAACCGTTGTGAATGAAAGAAGTTATGATTTTTGAAAATGGTACGTACGAACTTTCGGTTCAACCTAATATAGTTATATACGAACTCTATTCTATTATTCTAACTCTATTATTTGTCACTTGGATACGACTCAAAAGTGAGAGCAAATGTGAAGTCATTCCTGCCTTTTTCTTCCACCCCGTTTCATATTTAATCGCCTGTTTGTATTTCATTTTTGAGGTGGTGCATCGTTTACGATGTATTTAATAAATAAATAAATAAATAAATAAATAAATAAATAAGCAAGTAAATAAATAAATAAATAAATATCACTTGTAAAATGTTTACTTTTCAGCTACTTTTCAAAGCTTCTGCAAGTACTAAATGTACTGCTGTCAAAGTCTATGGCCATGCAAGCAGCCATGCAATCAGTCATGAGTAATTGCTTTCTTTCTGTTCTCGAAAGGCATTAATTTTATTTTTTGTTACAATCTAGTTGATGTTGATAAATGAATGAATTTTATTCAGTTGCTTCTCTTTTTTTCAACGAATCTTCATAAACACTGCTGGCGATAGAGCAATTTAGCTTCATGAACTAGAACGAAAAAAGTGAGAAATGTATACAGGGTGTCCCAAAAGTAAGTACACACTTTTCAATCGTTGATATCTCTCTTCCCATTGTGTCTTTTTCCGCCATTCAAGTACCAATTTGTAGAGGAGGCTTCAACTTAGATTTCGCAGTATCGGGCGAGTCACCGATCGCCATTCTTTACTGTAGGATTACTGTAGGAAACTCGACAAAGATTTTAGGCGTTTGGGAGATCTTACACTATGGTAGTGGAAGTCGGTGATTTTGAATATAACATTTTCACTTTACTGTGATGCTTCTGTAGAGCATGCTTCTGTATTCTGTAGAGCGAAGTACAACTTAGATTTATAGTATGGAGCAAATCACCGTTTGCTCTTTAGTAGGAGAATTGTAGTATGGAGCGAATCACCGTTCGCTCTTTATTACTGTAGGATTACGGTAGGAATTTCGACAAGGAATTTAGGCTCTGCTGATTTCGAATATAAAACTTTTAAAAACCTAGTACACGAAATTTAAGATTTCAAAAAAAAAAATTGTCAAGAGGCATATTTCATAATGGTTCCACGTGCCGGAATTTCTTACCGTAATCCCACAGTGACGAAGAGCGATCCATTCCATTCATTTCATCCAGCATTCCAACGATACTGTGCATCTAAGTTGAAGCCTCCTCTATAGGTACTTGACTGGCAAAAGAGAGCTATCGCGTTACTTGGCGCGCTATTCATCCCGCGCCAAGACCTCTCCTGCTGGGCGCGTTGCCAAGTCAGAGGGTATGAAGGGCGCGCAGGCCGCCGTCTACGCCTCTTCGAGTTTCATTCGTATTGATCGTTTTATGATATCGGTACTGGCAGCGCCTCCAACAACTCTTGTAGATGATCATCGGTTTGTAGCGGTTGAGGTTTGTTATCTTCTTGGTTTTGGAGAAGCGCAGCTAAATATCATGGTTCGTCCTACGTAGGAAGTTCACTAGCGAGAGTGGAGAGGGGTCACACCGTCCCGGAAGGGCTGGGGGCTTGCGGTTGACCCAGCGGAGAGCCCGGAACTACGCGTTGGAGTGGTCGTCATCGCCAGGCATCGGCAGCACGGGACGAGGCGGCTCGTCCCGTGCCCTTCTTTTCCTGGTTCGAGTGGTAGTAGTAGTAGTTTAGTAGTTTTTAGCAGTTTTAGTACTTTGGTAGCTTGTTATTTATGTATATTTGTAGATAAATGTAGTCTGAACTAGTCGGTTTTTTCTTTCGTCAGCGTTACGCGCCATTTAGTGTGCCGTTCATACTTGTAGGGGGTAGTCCTCGGCAGCGCCCGTCAAAGCGTCATGAACCTTGGTGGACGCGCGACATCGTAGGGGAAAACGGGAGTTAGGTGTAGACGCGGCGAGCACTTGCGGAAGGTGCTGATCACACCGAGCCGCCACAGTATTACGCTGTTTTCAGGCCTGAGCCTAAGCCACTTTTTTAAATTTTCAAACGAGCTGCTCAGCCGCCTCATTATGCTTCAAAAAGCGATCCTTATGCCGCACGATTCTCTCAGACACTATAGGGTCCTTTGGTTGCGTGGTCCTTTGATGTGTTCGGCCTGGTTGATGTAAGCTAAGACCACCCCGCGGCTTATACACCTGAAAATAGGGTAGTTGAACGGGCTCGAGCGCACGCGCGTATCCTCACTGCTGTAAATCCTGCGTCTCATGCGTTCCGCGGCTAATAAAACCGCATTCGCGCTTAAAGATACTGCGCCTTCGTCATGCAGCTTATAGCTACGCATTTAGTGCAGGCAATTGCGCGCAAAATGCCGACTCTACTAACATGGCTATCCACGCGTAGATTTTGCCGCATTGTCGCGACAAAGGGTACCATGTTCATCGACAAATCTTCTAGACTGTAACATTTGATTCAACTTGCTTGGCACCATTAAGGCGGGGTTTTGTGATCTAATTGAGGCCGCTCGCGCCCGCGAAGCACCTGCGTCTCTCTCGCGCGGGTGCTCTCTGATCATCACCTAGCCTTAATTAGGTCACGAAGCCCCGCTTTTGCCGATGCCAAGCCAGTTGAATCAAATGATACATGAGAATCTCTTATCTGCTGGCCTACTTGTACACTATAATGCCAGAATGCAAAAATTTTTGTTTGCTTTCAGCTTCTAATTTTTTTTAGCAAACTCATAGTACTTTGTTGCGGAAAACTTTGAAAAATTGGCCAAATTGGAAAAAATTCTACCTTATGTTTTAGTGCCCATAGCTATCTCTTATAGCACTGTATGCAGATGTAGGCACCAAACATGCGTACTTTTTGGCCGACATGACTGCAAACAATCAGGATAAATTCATGCATTCCAAAAAATTCGTAGTATTTCAACCAACGCAATAGCATCATCAGTTTCCACGTTTAATATAGTGTAAGCACCCCACAAATATTTTTGAGAAAAAAGGCATAATCAGTCACGTTATCTCAATCTAACAAGGCAAGTGTCAGAAGTCGCAGTGACATTATGACATGAGATAAGTACCAACTGAAGCAGCTTGAAACGCTTATTCTATTAGGTTGTAAAGAAAGTTACCGGGCACTTGCGAAAATTTTTTTCAAATCACTGTAACTTCAAACAGGCTGAATTTTCTTTAGGGCTACAAACTCCACTGCAAAGACAATTTTGTCTACAACGTATATTTGTCTTGCTGGATTTTCAGCACCTCACTACGGTACACCAGCATGCGCAAAATGGAAAAAGTCAACGCGAAAAGTGGCCTCTTTGTGCAGGATTATCTCAGCCATGGTAAGAGCTGGAGAGCTCAGATGCTGTATTTATATAGAAGTCTGCTGGGGCCGTTATGTAGACTATTTAAGTCTTTGAGCGACCACCTGCAAAAAAACTTTTCCAGAAAAGTTGAAAAATCGACAATTTTTTGCCCCCAAAAATGCACCGTTTTTCGAGTAAGTTGCTTTGAAGTCTTCTCGTTTTGCACAGGGCGGACCAAATCGTTGATTACTGCGAACATTGTTGGGTTAATGCCTTACACATCTTTTGGACCCATCATCCAGGCGTGGCGATTCCCGCAGAAGCGACGCCAGCTGCGAAAAGAGATGCAGTCAGGTGCAAGTTCGACAGCTTGTAATTCCTGAGCGCAGATCGCAAAACCCGAGTGCAGCTGCGGATTAGAAGTCAAAAGACTCCTCAATCAGATCACCCATAATTTGAACAGAATTCTTCGAACTGCACAAAAAAATGGCCTCAGAAAGAAAAATTGTGAAATTTTTATGGTTGAAAAGACTTCCTTGTTTAATGTGTAGATCAAACACGTATTGGCATCGATAGAAATCAGAAGCGGTATTGAAAAGCTTACGCTTCGCTCTACTGAACACTATACAACAATTGGTGTCAAACTCCAACCGAGCGCCAAAAAATGCGTTTGAAAATGAAATTTCCAAAACTGCCCGGGAACTTTCTTTACAACCTAATAATATAGTCTTCCTTAGCTGCAGAACTATTTTGGGTTGGGAGTCACAAGCGTTTTAATCACCAAATTTAACATCGCTTAGACGTACTCTGTGATCAGGGGAATTGTCCGGATGCTTGTTAGGCACTACAGCATAAGTTAAAGAGGGAGTAGAATTACAACGAGCACTGAAACAATTTCATCCAGTCAAGCATACATTTACTTGATAGTTTTGGCTGCACTCTGAGTTGTACATTTTATGCAAATCAGAATCATTAACTCGGACCTACAATCTTTCCGCAGGTAAATGAGAC